TATACATGGATTTGAAAGTTAATATTTGCTTTGTATCGATTTTTATGTTTATTGTATCGATTTTTATTTCGAGAAATCATCTATCGATTAAAACAATAATATTCACAGAGCTACTTTAGACATTAATGAATTCGCGAGGATACATAATTGTATTAATCGAAACTAAGTTTACATGCTTGATTAATCAGGTACATATGAAAAGGATTAACGAAATCTAATTTTGACATGCTTTCCTTAAAACAAAACATCGTTGCCTTAATTTACTCTTTGCAACAAACTTATGTTACAAACCAAGAAATACTTTGAAAACTCTTTACTTATAACGTTAACTATTGAACGACTAGCATCTAAGATATCTTACGTACAATCTCTATGGATACGATAAAACACCCCCAAAGATACTTTTCAACATGTAATTAAAATAAAAAAGATAAAATATATTTAAAAAAACCAACAAAGTAGACACGTCACATTAAAAAATAAAAAATAAAAAATAAGCCAACAAAGCAACGTCACGTCATAGATTCTACTAACTGTATGCACTGAAGGGACAAAATGAATGAATCTTCAAATGGTACGGGCGAAATCTGTGTTTTTTTTATAGGATCCTTTTTCGAATTTTCCCAAAATGGCAGGGACTAAAATGTGTAGCAGCCCTATATTTTATAGAAGGTGTTATTTCTTAAGCATCCGAGTAAATTTTGTGAGATGGTTAGTGTAATACCCCAAATTTTTCCCTAAGATTTGTCGTTTCATCTCGCATTCCATTGCATTTTTTGCATTGCATTTAACCAGTCACTAACAGCTTTGTGTAGTCGGTTGATTTTTGCAGGAAAAGTCGCATTTGTGCGCTCTTTAACTTACGAAGGGTAAAATAGTCATTTGTTTGCAGTTGGCTGTCAGTTTATGAATCTGAGCTGTAGTCAGGAAATTTGAGCCATTTGATATTGTTGATATGAATCAAGGCTGAGGTCGTAATCGGAATTTAATCGTGAAGGATTTGAGCCGTTGGAATTAAATCAATTCAATTTTATATGATCATTTGAATTTAATCAGACGGTTTGGATTTGTTCGGATAAGGTTCCTGTGGATTGCCGGAAAATTTAATCAAAGTTATGCAGGAAACGGGATTAGTCGGATAAATTGGAGGAATTAGGAATTATTAAAAAAGGGTTTTCATTTCAATTTTTATTTCATATTTTAAATTAATTTCATCAATATTACACTTTTGAATTAATTTTATTGTTAAATTAATCATATTTCACTTTTTCAATTAATTCCATTTTTAAATCAATCATTGTTTCATTATTTAAAGAAAAATCAATTGCATTTCTATTTCATTTTTAATTTTAGTCTCATTTCATTCTTAAATATTAGGAGTTCAAGAAAATAAAAAAGTATATTAGGATTTCAAGAAAATGAAAAAGTAGGAAAGCGTATTGAAAACAGTTGGCGTATGTGTATCGATTATAGAAAGCTAAACAAAGTAACTAGGAAAGACCATTTCCATTTTCCTTTCATTGATAAAATGTTTCAACGTTTAGCTAGACACTCTTACTTTTGTTATTTAGATGGATACTCTGGATTTTTCTAAATCTCTATTCACCCCAATGATCAAGAGAAAACAACATTTACATGCCCTTACAGAACATTTACCTATCATCGAATGTCGTTCAGACTATGCAATGCTCCAGCTACTTTCCAATAACGTATGATGTCAATATTCGTAGATTTCCTTGACGATATTATGGAAGTTTTCATAGATGATTTCTCGGTATGCAGATCCAGTTTTAAAAACTGCCTAGCTAACCTTGAGAGAATTCTGAAAAGATGTGTGGAAGTTAACCTTGTTTTAAATTGGGAAAAATATCATTTCATGGTTACCGAAGGGGTGGTATTAGGACACATAGTATCTGAAAGAGGCATTGAGGTTGGCAAAGCTAAGATAGAGGTTATAGAAAACCTCCAACCATCGAAAATTGTTAGGGAAGTCCGAAGTTTTCTTGGACACGCCGATTTTCTACCGACGCTTTATCAAGGATTTTTCTAAAATAACCAAACCTTTAACTGGCCTTCTAATGAAAGACGTTGAATTCTTTTTCAATGAAAAATGTCTTGAAGCATTCAATCACCTAAAACAAGCACTAATTTCCGCACCTATCATGCAACCTCCAGATTGGAGCGAACCTTTCAAAATTATTTGTGATGCAAGCGATTTTTCTATTGGTGCTCTTTTAGGACAACGAAAGGACAAGAGATTACATGTAATCTATTATGCCAATAGAACTTTAGATGTCGTCTAACTTAACTATGCCACTACTGAAAAAGGGCTCATCGCAGTAATCTTCGCAATAGACAAATTTCGCTCCTATTTAGTTGAAGCCAAAATTATCGTATATATTAATCGCGCCGCCATTCGATATCTACTTAGCAAAAAGAACACAAAGCCTAGATTACAACGCTGGATCCTCCTGCTACAAGAATTTGACTAGGAAATTCATGATAAAAAGGGCATTGAAAACGTGATAGCTAACCACGTTTTAAGGCTCAAATATCTAATACAAGATCTTATACCCATAAATGATGAATTTTCCTATGATAAACTTATAGAATCAGTTAGAACTAATCATAGTGATGACCCCGATCGTGAATTGGAACTAAACATCAAAGATGCCCTAGTTGTAACAAACATACCTTGGTACGTCGATTTCGCTAATTATCTAACTGCTGATATCATACCCCCTGACTTAAACTATCAACAAAAGAAGAAGTTCTTTCACGATGTGAAACATTTTTATTAGGACAAACCCCTCTTATTCTAGAGAGGCGCATACGGCACATTTCGTTTGTTATGTACCTGCGGAGGAGGCAGAAAGTATAATTACTCATTGTCACTCTGCACCTTATGGTAGACATGCAAACACATCTAGGACTTGCGCTAAAACCCTTCAAGTAGGCCTCTTCTGGCCAACATTGTGGCACAATATTCATGCTTACATATTCAGATGTAACCGATGTCAATGCATTGGGAATATCTCTAGACATGATGAAATTCCCTTAAGAAATATTCAAGAAGTGGAAGTCTTCGTTGTATAGGGAATAGACTTCATGGGACCTTTTCCATCATCGATGGAAAATAAATGCATTCTAGTAGTTGTTGACTACCTGTCCAAGTGGATCAAGGTCGTAACTCACCTACCAACGACACTCGAGTAGTCATAAAACTATTCAGAAATTACATATTTCCTAGATTTGGAGTACTGATCCGCTTTCGTGCACGGATCAAAAACGAGTATTTTTAAAAAAGTATAGTAACGGTAACGACAACTCGAGTATCGTTCTCAAGGATTATTGTAGTGGATTAATCAATTACAGTAACGAAATATGGGGGTTTGGTTTTGATTTATAAAACAAGAGAAAAAGTGATTAAAATAAGTGATTATCAATTAAGCTAAAACGGCTAATCCTATTTATTCGAATTCTGGCTTATCATAGACTATTATAACACAAATTCCTAAGCGGCTTCGATCCTATTATATTATGACATAAATTAGACAAGCGCTTATCAAAATCAAATGAATTATGTTCCTGTTTACCGAATTAAGCAAACGGTTAAGAATATAACGAGTTAATGAATTAAGCAAACGATAACACGCAATTAAATTTAGAAACATGCATACAATCAAATTTAATCAATTCTAGCCTATGAACAACAATCGAATTAAGCAAACAGTTGCAATCAAATTAAGCAAATGACTTCATAAAAAAGGATTGAAAGGCATCAAAGTTAAATTGGTATTAAAATAACCTCAAAGCGATGAAACCGTACACAGCAGGACTTACTCGTAGAAATTAGTTCTCCATTACAATCGTAAAAAGTAAAGTAAAATCATGAAGAAAAAAAAAGTTAAAACTACACTAGCACGGCTGCTAAGTATATATATGTGTGTATATAAATTAATAGCGGTATATTTTGTTTATAAACACTAACCCATTAACTTGAAGAATTAGTGTGTTTTTACTAGTTTATGTGAGATAAACTTCCTATAGAACAATTCTTATTTGATCTTGAAATCGAATGAACCACAAGCAAAAATCTTAGTAAAAACGGGAAAAAGAATAAAAAAAGACGAAAGACTAGATCTAGAAGAATTTTTTTGTCTCAACACAACAATGAACAATGGCTAAGGTTATCAACAACAAGACCAATAACATTGGAAAGGACAATGGTGACACATTGTGAAATGAAAATGAATGTCCGATAAACTGAAATGAAAATGGGATTATTATAAATTTTGTATGTTAACTCTTTTGCAGATTTAGATTATGAAGACCTCGTATATAGGAGTTCAAGAAAATGAAGAAGAGACGAATTTCTACAATTGTTTTCACACTCTCTGATTGTTGACAAAGCAAAAAGTGGTATCTTTTGCCAGTAGCTAAAATCATACAGAATTATAAGTAAATGCATATGACAATTACACAAGGTGTGAATAATCCTAAACATAATATGATATGCAAGCTATTAAAATCTCTCTACGGTCCATCTATTAAATTTGGCAAAGAATATTGCATATGAAGATAATGCATAATGCAAAATACTAATTTGTAAACTCTTGTATTTAATCACTACCAAGACTGATATAACTTTTGCCACCCAAAAGTTAAGGCAAATTATTCTGTCTTCACTATGGTTCAACATGACACTTTAGTTAATTAGAGATTTGTTACATGTTTTTAAAGAAGTTACAATGTCATTAACATCTCAAATGTATAACTGATGTTATATATTATAATTTGAAACTCTTTTTTCAATGAGACAAATATATGAAAGTTTTGTTCATATAGAAAATAGAAAAGAACACATAAAAAATATTTTATTCAGATAAATCAATTATGAATATAAGATGCATCCAGTCTTACATACTATTTTATTCTATTCTTCTAGTAAATATCACAATGTCATGAAGTAAAACGGAAAACCTAACAATTTTGCAACTCTAGTTATTGTCCAACCAAAACTGTTTCTGAAGATTGTCAACTATCTTATTATCCACTTGAAAAGCCTTTGTGAGAACTTCTGCTGAAATTTTCGGATTAGATCCAAACACAGCATTAGCAATAGTGATAACTCCTGGATTCTGACTGCTAAGTCCAGCAATGGCAACCGCATTTCCATATCCCACATTCAACTGGAAGTGAATGAGACCGATTGGAAACACAAATACATCTCCTTTGTTCAGTACTTTTGTGATCAGACGATTTTGGGGGTTAGAAGTAACAAAACCAACATAGAGAGTACCCTCCAAAACTATAAGAATCTCAGTACCTCTTGGATGAGTATGTGGAGGATTTAGTCCTCTAGCTGCAAAGTCAATGCGAGCAAGAGAAATACCAAGAGTGTTCAATCCTAATATCTCATTAACCGTAACCGCTGTCACTTTTGAGCCAAGTGAATTCGATGTGTTTCCTTCTTTCACTGAGAAAAAGAAATCATTTGCAGTGGCAAGTTTTGGATCTTTGCAGAATTTTCCATTCACAAACACTGCAAATCAAATATGAGTTATTAAACTGATTGACTCTAATAAATTTCAAAAACAGTATCATATATACATACCAGCATTCTTAGTGTCATTGATAGCTACACAAAAGTCTTGTAGAGGGCTGGGATCAAATGCAAAGGCACAAGATGCTAAGGCCAACAAGGCTGTAAAAATCAAGTAACTAGTCTTCATATTGCTCTCTTTGTTTCTTTGTTGTATATTTGCTTGTCTATGTTTTTGAATGATGAGATTTTGAACACATAGAAAGAGCCTATTTATAAGTAGTTTAAACGTTGAAATTATCTACATATTTACTTATAAAATGCATTTAAAGACCTAGTTGAAATTATCTACATATTTACTTATAAAATGCATTTAAAGACCTAGTTGAAATTATCTACATATTTACTTATAAAATGCATTTAAAGACCTAGTTGAAATTATCTACATATTTACTTATAAAATGCATTTAAAGACCTAGTAAAAAAAGACTTTTTTAATTAATAGGATACTTGTTCATTTAATCTTTAACAACTACGTGCTACTTATTCTTCTACTGAATAACTTGTCACACGCGCTTCATGTTGTTGATATAGTCAATTCAAGAGAGAATTAATTGAACATAAGAGTTTTTTTTATTCATGATGAAATTGTATTACAGATTAGTTGAACAAGTTGAAATTGTATTAAAGTGTTAGTAGTTGCAGTTGATTTTTTAAAATATTATTAGCATGCGTATAAACTGTGGTTGCAGTCACAGATGTTATTGCGATTGTGATCATTACGGTTGCTGCAATGTATATTACGATCGTTTAGCGAGAATTTCGATGATACAGTTGAGAAATGCTTAATGTGGTTCTCGTCACAATTGTATTAGAAGAAAAATGAGTTTTGATGATCTAAAATTTTGATTTTTGATGAAAATAGCTAAAAAGACATGGTCAAAATTGTTTGATGTGGTTGATAATATGGTTGCAAGCTTGATTTAAAATCACACCATATTTGTGGTCTGGTGCGGTTGCAAAGACCAACACATCATCAATATTACGACCACAATAATATTGGAGAAACCAGAGTCGACAGCGATGATCGGAGCCGAGGTGATTAGCGGCAGTAGATGGAGTCAGAATGATAATTGGTGGTCGAGTGGTGGTGGCCGAGCAAAGGCCTATGGGTCAGGTCGGCATCTGGTCTGGTCGGTTTTCGAATCTAAGGTCGCGTGTGTGGGCGGGTCAAATATGTTGGGTTGCTTTTGGGCATGAATTTGATCTCTAGGGTTTGACAATTATAAATGTGGTTCTCGTCACTTCTGTTGGTAGAAAATTCCTAAAAATTCATTGTTCTTGAAATTGGAAGACGATAATTTAAAAGATTGGAAAACACTTCTAAACATCGTAGTTTGTATGAGTCATATAATGAGAGTTGGAGATATTGAGAAATACTTGGGTGATAAATATGAGTCATATATATATATATATATATATATATATATATATATATATATATATATATATATATATATATATATATATATATATATATATATATATATATATATATATATATATATATATATATATATATATATATATATATATATATATATATATATATATATATATATATATATATAGCTTATTCCATTGTTGATAATATTAGCAATTCTGATGCGGAGACAGAGGTGGACCTGAAAGGTTAGCACTCGAACGTTCAAGTTATTTCTGGAATATCTTAAGGTGGAACGAAAATCTTAGGAAAATGTAAATCATCCATGCTTTGGCGCAAAGAGGGAGTATTTATACAGTGGATAATATTGGACCTTCTCAAACCTCTTTTAGGTGTTGATTCAGCCTAGAACAGTTGCCATCAAGCTTGGTTTGCCGAGAAACATTATGAAATTTTCAAATCGGACCAGACGATTTTAGAATTTCGTTCTCATGAGGGAAATGAAGAGGTTATGAGAGAAACTTTAATAAATACTTGTCGAATTGTTGAAATGTTTTGTTGACTATCTTACATGTTGCTCCTAGTGATCAGGCTAGGGGTGGCACATATACTTAGACCATTCGAGTGCACTTAAGTGCATTTGTTTACTCAAGGAAGAACTATGGACTATTGAATCATTATTCTGATGTCACCCACTATTTTTTTTTAAACATTTTCCTCTTTTTAAATAACCTCATTTTGGGTTTCTTTTAGAAATTTTAAGTTTCACTCTTCTTCTTGTCTCCATGCTTGCAGTTTTCTTCTGCATTATCTCTAGATGATTTATTTTCTTTAAATTGTTTCTTCACTTGCTTGAGCATTCACATTTCGCTTCTTCATATTCAAATTGTTTACTTTGGTCAACCTTCTTTTTCTTGCACCCTTTATTCCTTACCTTTCTTTTTCACTATTTTTCCATGGATGACCTAGGGGGTGTGCCCTTGAATGAAGATGGTGGGCACGATTATCCCATATCAACTTTTTAAGGAAACTCCAATTTTCCCAACGAGGAACCATTGGAATAGTTAGCATATACATGATAAATCGAATAACTTCAAAGACCATTATGTTTAAGTAACTCCCTTGAGTCCAAGGGCTCATTCTATGTTTTGTAAGGTTGGCCCGAAGGCTATGACTTCCCTTTCCTCTTCCTTTCGATTTCGGGAAAGAGTTAAGAAGTATTGGTCTTTGGACCATTTGAAACAAGAATTTTTCAAATATTCTTTTGGTGATGATAATCTTACCGTGGAAGAGGAGTTGTTAAATAGGGACCTAATTTCCTTATAGGAATAACTAGGTTACGAGGAGGGAAATAATTATGAAGAAGTAGGGTCTATAAAGTAGCAGAGGCGAGTCATTAACTCTCAAGATATTTTGGATGCTTCTAATGTTAGGGAGAGGAAAGGAATTTTTGGCGAGGATAAATTTTTTAAATGACTCTTTATCCTTGCTTTTAGATTTGATGGCATTTCTTAGGAACCATTATGACAGGAAGAAGGATATGGAAGATATGAATGCTTCCAGGGTTCTTCACTCCTCTGGTCCTTCTAATTCGACTTCCAAACAACTGGTTCAACCCATCACAGGTCAACAATCTTCTAACAACATTGTCCCACATTTTAATCTTCATTCCCTAGGCTCAACAAACAAAGGTGAAAGGAGAAGTAAAAACTCTCACGCCCATCATTTTCCTCGGCTAAGGGCTTTATTAAAAGGGGTTGATACAAATATCCCATCGTCAAGGGTGCTGAAAAAGACGCAGACTTTTGATTTCCAGTATATCGGGCTTTCTCTCGAGGCTCATGATGTTATGGTTTCCAAGCTTCCCGCCGTACTATCCTCCCAGGTCCCTCGGACGTCCTAGGAAGTGACGAAGTCCTTCTCAGAGAAAAATGTTGTTATGTCCAGAATCTTTCCGACGTTTGGAAGATGCATGTTGCGGTGAGAATAGGATATCAAATTATTAATTAATTTGAATCACAAATCTTTGATTCACAACCGGTCTTTGATGTATCCGAAGGAAAGGTTAAAGAAAGGAAAAATCTATTTTGCATCGTAAACACAATGCGGGGAGAGATCTAAGGTTCGGGGGTTGGTTAAGCTTAGGGAAGGTATTAACACCCTAAATTTCTGTAGTACTCTATAACAACCTCTTGTTTTAATGTTGTTATTTTGCTATAATTATCTGCTTAAGGGATATGCTAAGGGTTAAAGGTTAAATAGAAAGACTTAAGGGTTAGTCCTAAGTTTACTCGCCAAGACTCGCATCTTGTGCCTACGTATCCGAGGTAGGGGATGGAATCAGAGTAATCGTAGTTTCCCTTGAAAGGGAGGAAGAGAAACTTCTTGACTGTGGTCAAGGTTTCAAGGGGAATAAGCGTTCATATGGAAGCACTTACGTGGAGTGCGGAGACTCCTATTTCTACATTGTAATTGAATTGAATTTAAAAGGGTGACATAGGTATTCCATGGCGGAAAACCTAATATGGAGTGCGGCGACTCCTTATCCTAATGCTAGGGTAAGGGTAAAATTGGTCCACGGCAGGACTCCTAAAAATATGAGTACGGCGACTCGGAGTTTCTAGGTTTGAAAGGTGAAAGACGTAAGGGTTAAGGACTATTGACGCGGCGGTCAAACGGCTAGACCTATCCTTCGAAGAGGAATTAACGGGTAAATAAATATAATGAGAAAATACATAAGCTACGACATTGAAATATGGGGAGACGTGCAAGAATGAACAATAACGGAATAAAACGAGACGATGTCCTCGCATAATTTACAACCATGAAAAATAAACACAAAAAGAAAGAAAAATAAAATAAAAGATTAGCAAACCAGGGACAAATGAGAGCCAATGAAAGTCAGATGACGATTAATAAGAAGTTAGGAATTTTTATTTTAGAATTTTTAATTTAGGGTTCAACTAGAAATTAAAAGTGAAATGTTAGAAATTTAGGTTAGAAATATTTTTAAGAAAAAGTTTGTAATTAATTAAAAATAAAATTAGTTTTAATGTTTAAAAAAAAGTTAGTAATTTCTTAAAAGAGTTTTAGAAGAATTTATATTTATTAACACATTAAGTTTAAATTTTTTTTTTAAGTTTTAGTTTTAAAAAGTTATTTTTATTAATGGGAGTTTTGGTTTAATTTTCTAAAACTTTAATTTTTTAAAAAAATGTTTGTTATTAATTCATATTTTAATTACTACAAAAATAATAATAAAATACAAAATAAAAACAGAAAATGTAAATATAATTTAAAACAGGTCGGACTGGCCATCAACCCAGACCCGACCCAGCCCCATTGATATAAAAGCAAGGGCCCTGAAAAAGTTAGGGTTTGAAGACCCCTTCTTGAGGCAGCCACGACGCAACTTTCTTCTCCATGGGAGAGCTTGCTGCTTGCTCTTTGTTCTCTTCCTCTATGTACTTCTTCTTCTCTGTAGCTTCGGTTCTTCCATTGATGGTTTCTGTATAAAAAAATTACAACCAAAATCATGTTAGAGAAATTGCTCACCTCCGGGTTTGAAGCGGTTTTGCTTGCTGGATTCAAATTGGTGCATGCGATGATGGTGTTTGGCTTATGGCCGATGATGAAGAAACTGAGGCTGTCATGAGTGTGGGTTTCATGGTGATGCTCGTTCGAACTTGAACGAAGTTGTTGCTTTGTTGTTGTGCACGACTGTTTGTTCTTGATGTTTCTGGGTT